GATTGGCGGTGCAAAAGTTGTTTGATGTGGAATAAAAAAATTCCTTTACTGTATTTTTGTATATGTGATTTATATAAGAATTCCACATACTTTCTTTGTTATGAATACAGTGACTGCCCTCTTTGGCTAAATTAAGGATGTTTTTCAACTATAATAGAGCGAACGTCCTTTCTTCCACTTCCTTTCTTTTGAATTTTCTTTTCGACATCGAGGTTATTGTGTGTGCCGTTTGTCAAACGTATTGGCAGCATAATTTTTCTCTCTTCGCCTTTGGTACAGTTGTCAGCAGCAAATGCACTTTACGGATGTAAATCTTAGGAGTTCTTTGTTCCATTGTAAAGGATTGGATGCGCTTTTCTGTAAAGATTGTTTTCCTTTAGTTCCCTTTACTTCTTTTCAATCTTACTTCCTTTTTTTTGGATTTGGTATAGCTCCCATAAATATATCTTCTTTCTGCAAGCAGTTAAATGAGGTTCTTCATATTGACACTCGAATCAATCTCGTCATTTGTGTTGCCACAGCTATTGGATCGGAGTTCTTGTATACTACATATATATGTTAATCGATGATTTGAAACAACTAGTTAATATTATTTATTATTAAAGTGTGGCACTCATAGAAAATACGACGTATTTATAACCAACATAGTTTATCAGCTTCGTGACATTGGAAATAGCTTCATACCAGATTGTATGTTAGACTACCGTAACTGGGCTTTTCATTTATGCGCGATTTTGTAATATATCGTAATATTATCGATCATGCAGCTTTACTTTTTTCCTCTAAGCAGCCAGCATCGGCTTTTTACTATATTTGCCATTTTTCGGGCGAAGATAAAATTTTAAGCAATAAGTACAATGAACTCCATTACAATGCTTACAAATTTTAAGAGCATATACGAAATTTTTGGGACTCTGAGCCCTTTCAAAATTTCTGTGCTGCAAAATCACTTTACCGGGGGGTAAAAGCACTCAAGTTAGTATGCAAAAATGCATATGTCAGAAACGCACCTAATTATACTGTTAATAGCGTAATTAATTGCCTACAATTAGGCACTAATTCGTGCATGCAAAAGTACAAACGTAAAGGTGATTTCAACAATTTTAATGAGCTAATTAGTGTGCATTGACATGACTTGCACATATGAAGGGGGAATAGTTGAACATTTTTAGCAGCATAGAAAAAATAATGTTCCACAGCTACTAAGAAAACGCCTAAGGGTAGGCAATGGAAAAATGCATATGCAATAATTGCCTGGGGTAGATATGTGTTTCTAGTTCAATTTATGCAGGAAATGTGAGAGAGTCAGCAATTATTATGAAATTGAAAGCTAAAGCTCAATTGTCGAACTAACCTGTCAGTGCTCGGTAAAGTAATGAGTTTCATACACTCAAAAGTTCAGCGCAAAAAAAAGGCATACACTTTTGAAAGTTTCTATAAAGTGCAGAAAAATAAAAATAAATAAATACTTGTGCGCCTAAAAAGCAGTCAAAGTGTTTAAGATTTATCCGACAGCTAATAAATTGTCGACGCTTACACATGTACCACCACAAAGCAAGAAAGAGGGCATAGAGCGTTTTGTAGAATTGCTGAAAAGGTTCGCAAAGAATCGAAAAGTGACAGAAGCCGTTTAAAGTCTGCATGGTAGCTCAATGGGTGGAGGCGAAGCGCTGTTTTTGAGCAGCTGCGACATGTTTGCCAATATATTCCAATGTATATTTAGGCACGTATACTTGAACTTTTGACAGTACAATTGTTAGGCGTTAAGTGATGATAAAATATCAAATATTTGTTGGTAGGACAGGAAAAAAAGTTTAGAAATATGAAAGAAATTCTTTCGATTAAAAAAAAAATATTAAAAATCACCAGAAGCGGTAAGGATAAAAATTGTAAGGTTGAAAAAAGTACTTCTGATTCAAAGTATTGGTTGAGGTATTTCACTACCACTTTGTTTAAATATTCAAAGATGTTTGCTCGAAAAAAATGAAGCCGGATAAAAGTAGACAGAACAAACGGTTTTATCGGCAAAATCAATTAATTTTATTCAAAATAGTCTCCTTCTGCTTTAATACAGCCTTTTGCACGGTCCAAAAGCATGTCGAACGAGTGTTTTAGCTCGTTGCCCGGTATGGCCGCCAGTATGCCGGTGCAAGCTTTTTGAATGGCCACCACGTTTACATAACGCTTTCCTTTCATCGGCAAATGCATTTTTCCGAAAAGGTAGAATTCGCACGGTGCCATATCAGGTATATACGGGGAGTGGTTGATTGTTAAAATGTGATTTTAGGTCAAATAATCGGCCACAAGCGTCATCGATGAGACGGCGCATTATCGTGCAACAAACGCCAACTTCCATCTTCGCGATATTCGGGCCGAACACGTCGAATACGGCGCACCAAACGCTTCAGAACTCCAAGGTAGAATACCGCATTAAGGTCTTGGCCGGGTGGAACAAATTCTTTGTAGACAATACCCTTGGAATCATAAAAACAAATCAGCATTGTCTTCACTTTTGACTTCTCCAGTCGCGATTTTTTGGGTTTCGGCTCATTTCTCATTTATGTCCTCACGACCACTTTGAAAACGTTGAAATCACTCGTGCACTCTGCTACGGGATAGGCAATTATCGCCATAAACTTGTTTAATCAATTGAAACGTTTAGGTAAAAGCTTTACCAATTTTAAAACAAAATTTAATTTTGGCTCTTTGTTCGAATCTCATTTTCGCACCGATGACAAAAACATACTGACACTTAAAACGCAATAACTTCACTTTCAATAGATGAAATGTCATGAAATTTTTACTGGAAGTCGATAAAGGATAGCAGATTCTAACGCACCAGTCGACATGTAGATGGCGCCACTAGAGTTTACTTTGTTACTTTTTTACTGTTTACTTTGGAACGCACCTTTTAGTATTACCGTGGCAGATGAATCCTCTGAATTAATGATTTAATGGAGAACCCGAAAGGTAAGGCAGCTAATATAGGACTTTTTAAGAAGGGTCACCGTAATAGGGCAAGTGACGACGTTGTACAGAGAATTTGCAAAGTTCGGGCGCATTCTTTAAAGAAAATCAATCTCCTTGGGTTAATCTAAAGATGATTATGAAAATAGCTTTTTTAATTGGATTGAAGATATTTTCAAGCTTTTATAATTCTTCTTTCGAAATTTTTTTCAGTAGTTACACCTTTACTCTTTTTACGGCTGAGCAAGAATACTCAAACCCTCATTCGCTACAGATGCAAACATTTCCGGCAAACACTTTGCTTCACAAACAAACAGCTTCCACTAGCAGTATGACAGCCGCGTTGAAGCAAGAAAACGTTTGTCACGCATGCCAATGACATTTGATTTGCAAACAATGTTTGTTTTTCACGACTGCCTGTCCCAATGTCAATACATACACCTCCACACATGTTCACCGCTGTTCAACACTTCCGCCTAGCAAGCGAAACCGTTAGTCTGCTCGCGTGAAACGCCAAATCTCTGCAACTCTTTGCTCCCTCCATCGACATTCCTCTAAAGCTGACACGCTGCTCCTAGTCACAACTACATAGAAAGCGTTTGCTTACGACCATATGCTGAGAACGAAGTCAGCTGCGCAGGGATAAAGCAAGGACATGCAGGAAGCCAGTAAAGTTTAAAAAAGTGTTGAAGGAGTGTACCGAAAAAGGTTGAATACTTAGCTTTGATTGTTTGCCTCTGTTGGTAGGCGGCAGATGTTTGATTTTAGATGACACCATTGGGATGAATTTTCGAAATGAAAAAGAAATCAGTTTGTCTAACCCAAAGGAATGGTAATGATTTAGAGCTTCTGCGAATATTGGCTTTTCGTTTTTCAATATGTTGGCATTTCAATATTATTCATAGTCATAAATCACCAAAAATATGAGGGAAAGGTAAGCTTGTGCGCTTCTTACATGGCTTAGAGTTTTTTTTTTAGTTATTCCACAAGTATAGGTAAGTCCACATAATAGAGTACCTTTTGAAGGTGTGAAGAAAAAGCGGAGGCTAGAACTAAAAAGTTCAAATTGGTTGTTGGCTGTTATTTAAAAGTCCGACTTCATGATGATTTAAACCAATGGAAATATGAAAATATTTAGGACCATATCAAAAGAATGCAAAAATATTTGGCTTTCGATATAAATCAGGCTCACCATATCTGGAACTTTATCGGGCTCAGTCCTTCATATTCCAGTACTAAACACAGTAAGATACGAGAGAGACGGTAATATTCTTTAGTCACCATGGCTATGCCCAAATATTGTTGATCAACAACGGTGTTTAAAACCTTATCTTAGCTCTAAGGTTAGATTCAAACACCTGTCTGGTAATCAAGGATACCGACATTGTACATACCTGTCAGATTACCACTGCTGTTTTAACACTAAGGTCTCAGAGGGGTGGTATTTTTCTATGAGTGTTCCCCTATTACACAAATGTTAAGATCGAAGGAATTACAAGTAATCCTTTAGTATAAAATTAATGACCGCAATCCCTTAACAATTATTCAAGATGCTAAAATTTTTGTCATATATTGAACCAAAGAACTTTGCTAACTCTATAAATACTAATGGAGGCCAACTGTAATCGTTTGAACTAATAGATCGGTTATTGGGTCTGCCTATGTTTAGAATTTGAATTGCATTTGCTTTGGCTTTGTTCTTTACTCCCGATAGACCTATATAGACCTTGTTCAATGTTCAGTGCCCTGGGTAGCAAAGGTGGTAAGCCAAGTTGCTCCAATTTTACTATATATAGAGAGATAGATATTTTGTCGCTATTGGCACTTAAAAAACGCTTTGCTAAGTTAGCTCAAGCTTCATAAAAGGCAAATGGAAAGTCATATAATTATAACCCGAAGTTGTATTAGTTTCTAGATGTCCTTCTCATTGGGTTTAGTATCACTCGTTGTTGATAAGGATCTCTAATGCTCGATTTATCAAATTTATAAAACCATCGACTTGACTTCCAGTCCCTTTTTAAACGTGAATTATATAAAATCTAAAAGTTCCGAAAAGTTTTATTAAAATAATAAACTTCACAGTTTCTCTATAAATACTTACAAAGAATAAGGTTATTAATACAATTTACAGACATATTTCGGATAGTGTCAACATCCACATCCCGCTGGCTTGCGAATATTCACCTTCTTCAACTTGGTTACCATTTTTGATACAGTGTTTCCAGCGATACTTCAGGAAACTCTTATTTACTTGATATTTTGGCACAGAATTTAAATAATGTAGATAAGTTAATCGAGCTAAGTAATTAAATAAAACTTAAATATTTATGTTAATGAACAGCTTATATAAATAAATAAGTATATATGCTCCGCAAAACAGCTTTCTCGTATGTCGACTTTCAATTACTGCTCCGTCTTATTTTCTTCGGCATTCAAAGGTATTCCTTGGTCATTGATCTCCACGGAGGGTACCAGTGGTGGCTTGAAACCATATTCCATTTGTAAATTTCTACCAAATTGTGGACTGCGCTTCAAAGTGTGACCGTTACGCCAGCGTTGAAACTCATCGTAGGGCTCGTTGTGTGACGTAAAGGGACCGTTATATGTGTCCGTCAACTGTTCGGTGTCAGACGAATCCGCCACGGAAAGATCATGCGGCAGGGTGTTATAAATGTAACGTGAACCCTTCGACCATTCAGGGCCAGTTGGTGGTGGCGGTGGTGGCTTCAAATCGAAGCGTATATCGCCGATCTTGAAAGAGTGCTGCTTGTTTGATGAACTGCTTGGTGAGACAGATTGCGGTTGTTTTGTAGTCTTTAGGGAATTCGCTGCGCTCGTTGTTGGTTTTTTAGGACGCGCTTGTGTATGTGTGTAAATAGTGTTAGAGGTCGATGATTCAGATGACGGTGTACCACGCTGCGCTAGTGCTTGTGGCAGCAGTTTCTTCAACATGCGTGTATAGTAGTTTTGCAAAACTTTCGACGGTATTTGCAAATTCGTGGAACCACGACCGCCGTAATCGCTGGTTCCAGTCTGATCGGACCAACCGCCGAGCGCATTCGGATGTGGATGGTAAGGAGGGCCGAAAATCTCAGCGTTTTCATTATATTCAGGTAGTGGCTGATGCGCATACGGTACAGGTACAGCGACAGGCACGCGTATGGGTATAGGCACTGGACGATGTACTAGTTTCTCAACAACCTTCTCAACTTCTATTGGAATTTCTTTCTCTACAATTCTTTCGACCACTTTCTCAACAGGATAAGGTACACGCTTCTCAACGATCTTTTCGACTGGATAAGGACGATCGATATAGCGTTCCACATGTACAGGTACTGCGACTGGTTCAGGCACCGGATATGGGACGGGTATATGCGTTTCGACTATCTCTTGTACGGGATATGGACGATCAATGTATTGCGGTACATGCACAGGGTAGGGTATATGTACAGGACGTTCAACTATTTTCTCAACCTGCTGTGTGACTACTTGCTCGACAACCTCCTTTTCCACAGCTGGCTGGTGCTCTTCTGTATGTGGCTGTGGCGGCGCCTGCGGGAGTGCTTCGTGAGTATTTTCTTCGCTAGCAGTGTGTTGCGTTTGTTGTTGTGCCGGATATGGATCTGAATGTATCTCGGCGGATGGAGCATATTTCAGCTGTACATATTGCACGTGTTCTTGTGGGTGTTCTTCGCTTTCATAGTTGGCATGAGAATGTCCGTTTGATTGGTGATGGTTTGGCAGTGGCAAAACTTGCTGGAGATGAGCGTAAGACGACGCTTCCTCCTGCTGTTCGGGTTCATCAATGTGCTGAACATTCATTGGATTAGTCGAGAGCGATGCATATTCCTTGGGCACAAAGTAGTAGTCATTAGGATGGACACCCTCCTCAATCAGCGATAGTTGTTGGGCATATTGTATAGGATAGTGAGTGTGTGGGACCTCAGCTCGATTTGCGGGTGCTTCCGTTGCACTGGGTTTCTGAGGCTGCGCCGTGCCTTGCTGCGATTGTAGCGGGCTAATAGCTACAGGTTTGGGCGTATACTGCGGCAATGGATAAATGGTTTCGTGCTCCTCGACTAACTTGCCATCTTTTTCGGTGATCAGTTTGTTGTGGATATTTACTGATTTTTGTACTTCGACAAATGTGTAGCCACCATGTGGACGTCGTACTACTGCTGGTGGTGTAGGTGACACATGTGGTGAAGTCGGAGAAGTTGCAGCTCCACTCACAGCTGCCGAGACGTATTCATGTGGTGATTTCTGAGTGTAGGTAGGTTGCGAGGTTTGGGCTTTAGCGAACTGTGTTTGCGGGGTGGCCGCGTGTAGTGTAACAAAAACTACACTGTGAGGCGTGGGTGTGGCTGGAGCCCTATGTGACAAGGGAGTAACTAAAGGATACTGATAAGCCTGATGATTCAAAGAGGCGGGAGCCGCTACTGAATCAGCAGATATTTGAGTCTCTACCTTAGAAGACGGACTAGGCACCGAGGGCTGACTGGAATATTGTTGTTGCTGTTGAGATTGGGTCTGTGTGTAAGGCTGCTGTGGCGTGGATTGGTGTTGTTGAATATTTTGCCTTTGAGCATCGTGTTGTGCTTGTTGCTGCTGCTGTTGTATTTTTAGTTGCTCTTGTTCTTGCTGCTGTCTTCGTGCCGACTCAACGGCTTGTTGTTGCTCATGTTGTTTGTCAAATGCGATCTGTTGCTGTTGCTGCTTCCCCTGTTTATATTCATGCGGAGGTGGATGTTGCTGATAAATCGCATAGTGTTGATGCACTGGTTGTTGTCGTTGTTGGTGTTGTTGCAGCTCTTTGTGGAACTGTTGCAGCTGCTGTTGTTGTTCATGTTGTGAGGTTGGTTGGAAAAGCTTTTGTTGCCGCTTATCATCTGCCAATTGTTGTTGCTGATCTTGTATCTGTTTTTGTTGTTGTTGCTGCTTCTCTTGCCACTGCAATTGCTGCTGTTGGCTTATTAACCGTTCGTGTTGTTGCTCTTGTTGTTGTTGCTGAAGCAATACTTGCTGCTGTTGTTGTAGTAACTGCTGCTGCTGTTGTAAAAATTGTTGTTCTTTAAGGTAACGTATTTGCGCGGCATCCTTGTCGTATTGCAGCAATCGCAGGCGTGGTAGCTCTGTAGCCGATTGCTTCTGAGGTTGTCCCGCGTCTTCAACTTTTCCAGCAACCACACTGGGTTCCACACTAGGATTATTTGCTTGACTTCCATCTTGTATAAATATAATGGGTTGTAGTGCATTGGATTCATAGTGAAAGGAGCCTTTCGGCGTTGAGGTTGCTACCCCCGTGGACAACACTGGATTAAAATTCCGCAAAAACTGACGCGATGGCGCCTCTTGCGTTGGACTTAGTTGCTGAAAAGTTTGTTCTGCATGCTCCTGAAAGTTGTCGAGTTGTTGGCTGGGCGCCCCATGTCTTGAAGCTTCACCAAATAATTCAGCCTTGCCGTCGTCGGCTTGTTGATCCTGTTCGGGTACAAAAATCGGTTGTTGACTTATTGAGTCTGACAGATTAGGCGATTCGCCGTGTATAATTCTTACGTTTCCTTCCGACTCGGGCCGTAAGAGCAGTCTTTGCACGTCCACTTTGTAACCATATTGCTTGTCATCAACTGGCAAACGCTGATACACACGTTGACCTACATTTTGGGACTCTGCAATAAGATTGTCTTCAGCACTTATGCCTTCCATATCAGCGCTATCATCGTCGTTCAATATAATGATAGGCGACTGCTTTTTTGACTGCCTTTCTACTGTACCGTTAGCATTCTCTTGACTCGGATTCATTAACAAACTCGGTAAGACCGGCGAATCTGCTGCCGCCCGATTGATGCGTAACAAATCGTCTTTGGTAATCAGATTACTGCCATCACTGAACTCGATACTGTCAGCGTTGGCGCTGCGCGGCAACAGCTGCAGCTTCTCTACCACAATCTCCGTATGTCCAGGACGTAGTTCGCGTCGATATTCCTTTGAAACACTTGTTTCGTAGCGATAGAAAGCTTTTGTGTGTGATTGCTGTGTTTTTTCGGTTGTTGTCGTTGTACTTGTTGTTGTACTGCTAGGCGCTGTTGTAAGCTTGGCCTCAGGTGTTGTCTCAGGTGTTGCAGCCGATGCTGACGGTGACATTTCGTCTGTGCCTTGAGTTGCAATATTCGCTGGCGTCGGTTGTTCTGAGGCATAACTGAAGCGAAAAATATCAGTAAAACCATTCGGAAAGAGGTTAGAAAGCACTTCGTTCACGGTCTCCACGCGTGTGGCTCGAGTTGGTGTCGCCGTTGCTTGTATGTTACCATCCTCTTCGTTTATGTCGAAATTTATGTACGCGCTTGACTTTGATTTTAGACGCATAGTTTTATCACTATTTGTGTCGCTGTGGAGGTGGAATAAAGGAAAGTTTAGGAAGATATCTAAAATATATATTATAGTTTTGATAAATTTCTTACGAGCTTTTCGTCTTATTTTCGCTGTAGAGCTCAACAACTGGTGCCGGTATCAATTCGATTGCCTTTTGGAGATCCTGCAAAAGAGATAAAATATAGTAAGGTTGATATAATAATATATTGTAACATATGCTTCCGAAAGTTTACTACAGTAGTAACTTTCTAATGGTAAAGAAAAACTGCAATAGTAAGACCTATTTCCGATCATGTTGCAACTGACGGGAGGTTATTGAAGTCTGTATTGATTACAATTTACAAGATCATACTGCAGATTAATGTTTGTGTCATAGTGTTCCAAGAGTGTAACTCAATCTATGAAGGCGAACCAAATTAATATTAGTGACTCTTCGATAACAATATCTGTTAATTTTATTCAGAAGAAGTTATAATTCAGTAGAAATGTACTTAAAGAAAATATATGAGTTGGAACTCGACTATTTTATACCGCACTTTCAATTTAGTTCAACGGCTCATTGTTCCTTAAAAAATAACTATCTTTACTACTATTTGAGAGCTTCTGGTTCACGTGTGGTATACTTAAGTAATTCCTCAGAAATTTACTTATGTCAACTGTACCTATATTCCAGTAGCGTCCTAAAACTGGAGTAAGGTAGAAAATAAAAATATTTTTCATTGAGGAATATAAACTCTCATTCGATGCTACAAACCATAAACGAGAGCCCAATATTACAACCACTAAGTAACATTTTGAACATAAGAACAAACGCGTTTACAACCTTTACAAAGTTTTACCTCTCCGCTTTATCAACGATTCTATGCTTACCTTTTTCTCACTGTCATGTTGCAATGTGTTGCTGTCATTTCTGACAAGATTGGCGACATTCTTCACATTGACATTTGACTGCCTTAACGCGCGAGCCAATGGAGAACGCACAGTCGCATTTGTAGCTGAAGCTGAAGATGTTTTTGACTTCGTGGGTGGAGACAAAAGCAGTTGTGCCGGCGGTTGCGTCTGGGACTGAGGTGACGCAGCGCTTCCCTGCTGACGCCTGGCGGATCTCCTACCGGTCGTTGATGTGAGGAAATTACTTGTTGTGGTGCTTGTCACATTTAAAGGTGGTTGTAGCGGTAGTAGTGATGTTGTGGTTTCGCCGCGTCGCACACCCTCTGATACGGCTTTAATTTTGTTGCCAAATTTCTGAGCAGTTAGCGGAGTAGTGTCGACATCTTTTTGATTTCGACTTCTACTCACACTTTTACTTCCATTGACATTTGTTGATATTTCCGCTGTGGTTGTTGCTTTGTCCCATGTTGTTGTACTGTTGGCGACACCATTCACTCTTGCGGTTGTGATTGCCTTTGTTGTTGTTTCCGCTGCTATTGTTGCGGTTAATAAAAATAAACAGATGACAGCTGGTAACGACAGTTTTGTTAACATCTCAACGCTGTCAAGTTGAATGTAGAGAGAGGTGAGAGTTAATAAAAATTGGCAGCTTTTTCAACTTTTAAGTCAGATAAACTGTAGGAGAAAAGGTAATATATGATTATATTAGATGCAAGTGGTAAGTAGAAGGATAGTAAAATTAATTTTATAATTTTTTGTTGAGAGCAGGAGCAATCAAGTGTTTTATGACCTCTCTGTAATCCAGATTTATATACAGGTCTCCTAAACAGAATTCTTTTTGTTAAAAGCCTCGCTTAAAGAGATTTAACTTGGAATGGAGTGAAATCACTTAACAGTGACTCTTCCTTTTCCTTAGGTTACTTGACTGCTAATTATTCTTATAGCAGAAATCGTAACAGTTCAAGTTTATTCTTAAGAAATATATTGCTTTCATAACAATATGAAATGGTATCTTAAAATCTGCGAAGAATCGTTAAACGGTGATTTAAATTACAATAAGTGAAATGTCCAAATTAAGGAAAGTCTTTATAAATACTTGAATATCTGACTTAAGCTTAGTAACTATTAGCTATTCAAAGATATGTTAGCTACCTGCGATTCGCTAAGCTTTGAAGAGTGTCGAATCGAACCAACTGTACCAGATGTTCAATACGCGAACTAGTACCTCAGTTTCTTTCTTTGTCAAGGGTATTTTAGTTTTGATGCAATTGAAGTTATTACTTGCGGCAACCGATGAGATTGGATCGTAAAGCTGTTAACTGATTGTTGTAGATGGACCATTATGAGGTTGGTAAACATATTTACCGAATCTGGAAGTATCGCAAGTATACCGTACCATCGAGATTCGTATGTTCGTGTTCAAGAAACAATCGCGACTGTTGCATCGTCAATTCAGGCAAATCCAAGAGTTTCGACTCGCAACTTATATTATATATAAAATAAAATTTGCTATGCAATATAAAAATAGTTATTACATTTTATTTTTGTAGCACGATTCGTACGCCACCTTGTACAACGTCTTACTCCCTTACTTTGACTATGTATACTAGCATTTATACATTTCATTACCGGCTTAACACGCATAAAATATTTTTAATGCAGCCGTTTAGACTAAGTATCGTTAAAATTTCACCGTTGCAGACAAAGCGATTCGTAGCTATTACGCAAGCATCTCTTTTATCTCTTTTAAAAGATGCAAAACAATTGCAAAACAAAACGGCACTTAGTTTTGCTTACTTTGCCACGCATAAATATAGGCAGACATAAAAAAGCAGTAATTCACATACAAACATATGTATATACATTTGAACTTTATTTTCCAGTTTCCAAACATCACTTTTTTTCTGCCTTTTGCCCTGTTTCTGATTATCTACCTCTGTAATATGTGTACTCGCTTTGTTGCCACTTGTTGTTGTGGTTGCACAGCCGTTATTGACATTGTTTCACCGCGGCCACTTTTCTACGATTTTTATGGCTTTCTTGTTTGGCATTTGCCCAGTTAGGCGCATCTGTCGCGCGATGTCAATGCACCTGTCTGTATGTACATATGTACTAAGCATCAACTAGGCCTGCGCATAGATAGCAGCTAATCAAGTGACAGTAATGCCAACAATGGCAGCTCCATCATGGGTCATGGTATTTGCAGCAGTCGAATGCCTCCCATGTCATTCAATGTTTAATTATGCAATTGTGTTTCTTTTGTTTTTGTTGCACTTAATATACGCTTTTTGGTTTTGTAGTTGTAGTTGAGCGTTGTTTTAAGGTATGCATTAGCGCTTACTAAGATTGGGAGATATTAAAACACCCTAACGTGACTATTTGGGTGTGTATTGCTATGTCTTTCTAATAATTTTATGCATTAAAACTCTCAATTATAAATGAATCAAACTTGAAAATTATTTAAACGTTTGATTTTGCCACTACATGGGAGCATTAGGGCTGTTTGCAATCGTGGAAATAAAAATCTGATTAAAGAGTAAGCCAATATTAATTTATTATGATTTACGAAGGGTTTATTCTTACATTACATACAGTATACAGGCTTTCCCTAACATTTTCTGGCTATAATTCAGAAACAATACTGTCACGCTCTAGAAAGTTCCACAAGTAATCGGGAAGACGGGGTGGAAACATCTAGACACTTTCTTCTTTACTGTCCAGCTTTCGCCAGATTAAGGTTCAAGCACCATATTTTCTACGAACCCGGAGAACTTGCTGGAGTAGATATTAGTCAGCTCAATAAATTTATGGCTGACTCTATGCGAATTGTAGATATACGACGGTCTTTTTAATCCATACATCGAAGTTCTGGGCATCACATCGGACAAGCGTGGTCTCACGAACAACAGCGTAAATACCTAAGCTAACCTAATCGTTAAATTTAAGATAGAAAATAATTTTTTTTGCAAAATATGTATGACGGACGCTTCAAAATCGACTCTGAAAGGGTAAAAAATTTGAACTGTTACTTCGGTACAACAAAAGAGCGCCAATGGGACCTAATGCTCGTGTAAATTTTGAAAGTTTCAAATGTATTATTCACTGGCTTTTCGCTGCCTTGCAATGAATTTCGCGGCGGTGCTTGAAAACCGAGTCTTTAAAACCCGTGTTAAGAGCGCTTTGAGATTCAACTTCTTTTGGAGCTAAAAGCAGAAAGCCTCAAAAATAACGAATAATAACTATTGAAAATATTACTAGTCTAACCAATTATGGGTGATAACTATTCCCACGAGGTTTACCAACTATTAATGCAGTTATTAGAGGACGTTTGTGACAGTGTCTTCACGTTATTGTAACTAATATATTTTTAACATGAGAAAATGTTAGTATTATATATATGTATATTTTTTTTTTATCAAATAAATATTTTAGTACATCCCTAATGTATGCACAGCAATATATGTTTATGTATGCCTTTGTGTAGATGCATAATTTTCTTATGATGCAATGCGAATCACCTTTTAATGTGAACATCAATTTTTAAATCGCAAAACTTAACGAATCGAACGTTTAGCGCTCGAATCATTACTCTTGCTTGCGATTACATGATTACATTAACAAAGAAAATTAGTAACTCAAATTTAATTACACGCCAAATTTAAACTCTTTAGTTTTAAAGATTTTCGGAATTATTCACGGAGTCAAATTACTTCTCTGAGCTTGTAAAGGAGTTGAATGATAAATTAAGATTTTTCTTTGGAAAATGTAGTCAAATGGCGTAACTTTTTCTTTACGGTTAATAAATTTGGCATCTAAATGGTGAAATTTGCATTGAGTCATTATTTTTTAAAAAATAAGAAAAAAGTTTAGCTTCGTTTGCAGCGAAATCACAATACCTTTCACAAATACAAAAGATTCCTTAAAAGAATTACTTGGTTTTGATCAGCCAGTTTGTATGGCAGCTATGTGTATATATATGTAGGCAATAAATATCTCGTCAAATTAAAAATGTTCCATACACTCACTGAACTATCGGAACGTTTACTTTGTATGGCATTTATATGATATAGTGGTTCGATACCGGCCGTTCCAACAGATGAGCAGCTTCTTGTAGAGAAAAGGACGTGTGTAAAATTTCAGATCGATATCTCAAAAACTGAGTGTCTAGTTCCTTCTGGGTGTTGCGAGCTTCGTGAAAAATTTAGGGTTTAAAAACATAGATGAGTTATTCATTTGGTAGTTGCAACTCTTTACGCTTGTAAAGCGTGCGTTTGTTTGAAAATTTGTTCTATATTTGTTTAAAACAAAAATCTTTTTTATGACAAACTACATGCCATCTCGTCTACAAGCAAACAAATTAGTGGCATCTGGGAAAAAGAAAATACAGAAGTGATCATCAAGAAGCATCAGAGAATTAGAGAGCGAAATTATGATTTGGTTTCTGTAATCGAGGCATCCCTACCATATTTTACCATGCCGAAATAACAAAGTAGGGTTATTGTCGATAGCTGGGTACTATTTCTTCGATGCGAAAGTATTACTAATTTTCATACACGTATGATATACTTTAATCATTCGTTCATATGAAGCCGGCCATAATGTTACAGTCATTGGGGAACGCTGTAGAGTTTTGAATGATGACTTGAAGGACATTGATATGAATGACCTTTGGTTTGTGGAAGTATTGTAAGAATTGGCAGTAAATCGGATAAAATTGAAGAAAATTGGAGTTGTTTTATCACTAAGTTAGAAATGTTAGAGGAGGCAACTAATTTAAGAGCCATTCGAAAAAGGGAATAAGATGCATGATCTCAAAGAGGTTTGAAAAATTATAAAACAGAAATATATGATCCGCTAGATATTACGTATATGGCTCGGATTATAAACAATCAAATATACTACATTTTTACTCCTGTAAAAATATTCTTGATGCTAAAAGCTTGTAAATACTTATTCGACTCCCTCTTGAATAATGTAATGAAATAACTATGAACGGCAATGATTTAAGTAAAGGAAGAGATTTTGCGAGCCTGTTTTTCCCTAAAGTATTCTGAGATATCTGTATAGGAATTAATTCTGAAATTATGTGGCATCCCTCGTCAAATATTTCCCTCTTTCGAAGTTTTGATACGGTCTTCTTCCAACTCTATACCTAGATTAGATGAAGCCTTTGAGAACTGAAGTTTCAAATTAAACACTTTGTTTATACACTAAACAGCGGATATTAAGTTTGCCATGAAGCTTGTAGTGGCCAGAAGGAAATCTAGGGTACCTTATAAAGTTTATGTATATATAATTGACGAGTGAGCCGATCACAACGTTACCCTGATCTGGGTATATATTAAGTTTGCGACGAAGTTTGAAACAGAATGACACGTCGGAGACCCTATTAAATGTATATGTAAATGATCAGCGTGACCAGCTGAGTTTGTTAAGTTATGTGCGTCTGTCTGTCTATATGTTAGCGAACTAGCCCCTCAGTTTTTGAGATACTACTCTGAAATTGTCCTTTTCTCCCCAGGAAGCTGCTCATTTGTGAGAGGCGCCGAAATCAGACCACGATAGATTAAGCCTGCCATATGAACTGGACGATCAACATCAAGTTCATGCATGAATTAATTTTTTATTTGACAATGTATCTTTATGAAATTTGGCATAGATTATTGTTAAAGGCAACGGCTCGATCTTCGGATAAATTTTTCAGATCAAACCGCTATCGAATATACAAATACAAACAACCTGACCGGCCAAAATCGAGATAAAGATAGCTCTTCTTTATAAGGTAACCTTAATTGAACTTGAAAGTTGTTTATATCAAACAACGTTACCGTTGAATGCAAACCGCTGGCCGACAACGTTCTCAGATTTAGTTAGACATATCGTTGCCAAAAGAAGTGCGACTGTGAGACGTGTTATACGTAGCTTCGGTGAAGCTGAAGCAGTATATAGAATTACTGCGGAATTAGGAGTCAGCTTCGCATAGAAAACTTTACTTAACCTAAAAATATAATAATTTTTTTTTTTAGTTTTTGTAAATTATATAATAACATTTTTAGGCGTAGTTTACTTAATTAGCATGTAATTGGTTATTTTTATTTATTAAGTCTGGACGTGCAAAACTGCACGGAATTTGCATGAGTCACGTTTTTCTTACAATGTTGCACTATTTACTTTACCAACCTTTAAATTGCGCACAAAAACGCTGACAAATCAGGAAAAAGTGATGGCTAGTGACATGCAAGGCCACTCGAAGAAGTTAATGTCACTGCAACTCAAAACAATCGCACACTTCACATATACACGACGAGTTATAAAAGTAAAAAGAAATGAGGCGAGAAGCGAAAAATTCGATTCACTTAGTTTCACAAATTAACCACACGAACAAAATCAAATTTGTTTATTTTCCTATCAACTTTGATGGTCGTGAAGACAACGTTTGAAGACCACGAAAGAAATTGCTTTCCACGCGAAAAAAACCGCACACCACTGCGCAACTGCAACACAATGTGGCAAATTAAAATATGAAACAAACACCGCAAATACTGAACGATGTGTACAAACAAGCGCTGCTTGCAACTGTTGCAGTTGCGAATTCTAGAAAATAAATTATGATTTTGTTGTTATTTTCTTAACTGTTTATATATTTGTTCAATAACAACACACACTTTTTTTCTACTAAATCGATTTAAGCTTGTTGCGCACAATAATTATTTGTGTCACACTCTGTTTTTGCAATATCCTTCGTACTTGCGTATGATCAGTTGCTCCTGCGTCGCGACGGATCGTTGCGTTCGTGTTGCTGGTTTCGAGTCATGCGTTGAAGGTGAACACGTCTGCCGTGGTACGCGCGCGTTCGACGAATGAAAGTGAAATTGCCACAGCGTTTGCGTTTTCATGCAACAAATAGTGTTGCGGCTGCTGCAGCTACTGGCTGGTTTCCGCGGCCTCTTGACTGGCTAGTTGCTGTATGTGGCAAGTTGCTGTACGCTGACGATCAGCTGTGGATGCTACAGATGAGCAGTGGAGACAGCAACGAGCTCGTCAACAGTAGCTGTAACAATGGTTGGAACTGTGTGTGGCAGCAACAGCTTTGGCTATGACTGGTTTTTGCGTTAGCCGTGATTTAAGCGTTTGCTTTTGCAGTTGCAGCTAATGTAATCGCACAGTCGTCTGATCATGCTTCTTAACAGTGGCATCTGTGTCGTTCCTTTTTGCGATCGGAGATAACCAGTGCCTGATATGAAACCAAAAATCAAGTCCAGGGACTGTCAAGATACACAAAGTAGTAAAATGTTTTCTATCTTTCAAGGTAATTGATCGAGGATCAGTTAGAGAGTGAGTACACTATCAGAGCAATTACTGAATTCACATATTGGTGATATGAAAGCAACTGCAATTTGGAGTGACCCTGTAATGTATCCCTGGCTGTTACATACTTCTCAAATCAAATTAAAACACACTTTTTTGTTATTCGCGCTTCAGAGTCCAATCTTGTAAGAAAGGAGCTTTTTTAAAACATATCTCCGATATATGTTAATTCTATATATAACTTTTGATTTAACCATCAGCTCTTCGACTTTCCAGAATCTATGGTATTGATCTGTTAATATTATGTTATTCAGATAATCCTGTAGCAAGCTTTTAACAATTCCAGCCAGCTCAGTTATGCTCTGCTCAGGATACTCTTAGAGTGCAGACAGAATGTGCTTTTGTACAGAGCTTTTTGTCTTTTGTTTCTACCCAGCGTTAGACACCCTTCTTATAGTTATTATCTGATCAATATGGTTATACAATTCTGATACTGAGCACTATTTGTATTTAGTGAAAGAGCATGGCATTTTAGGTTCATTTTAGGTTCACTTAAATGTGGAAAGAATCTTTTGCCGTATGTTCTACATTTAAACTTGTTTAAATGCCTTCAAATCGGGAGGTGTTTCAAATATTACTTTAGTCTACCGGTCCAACAAATCAGAATGCAGAAAACGATGAAGAATATAGTTCAGAGCTTAAAGGCTTTCCTCCCTTCTTTCTGCCTTTAGCCTAATATTTCCAAGACCTGTACGATTCAACGTGCTGAAGTTTGATCGAAGCAGTTTCATATTGTAGATCATTCAGACTTTGAGTACAAGTAGAAGCTCCACATTATATGCATAACCGCATATTGTGTTATCTCACATTCTTCAAAATTCTCTCAGGAATGCAAATCCAAAATTACGCCTCACATTGCAATCGATGTTGTATACATAACACTTGTACATGATTATGATGACTTCACCATTATGCCAACATGTCAACAGGGTCAAAATGGACAAAGCTGCGTGTGAGGCAATCTACAAAAGCTACAAATATAAAAAGGTGAATTTTTATATAAAGAAAGCAAATAAGTGCAAAACGAAGCGCTGAAAAACGTGTGATATAAAATCAAAACAATGCAATGCAATAAAATGTGTACCAACAACAAAACGAACACCAAACGAAATTGCAATGAAAAACAAAACGCTTGACATACGAGCGCTGTTGAGTACAGCAATAAAACGGGCAACTTGCAACAGCAAAGTAATTGCGCAAGTTCCACAACAGCAATGCAACAAATGCAAAAACAGTAAAGCGAAAATCAACAGGAAAAGCAAACGAGTAAAAAAGTTGAAGTAAAACACAATTTGATTTGCAAACAATACATATCCAACCGAAAAGTCCAATAACAGAAAGAAAAATTTTATCGATAGCAGTTGCTGGCTGCCACTGGTGCTCAGGTTGTGCTGCCGAGTGTTGCATGCAGTTTATTGTGCTGCAACAAGCTAGGCAAGGTGCCACATAATTCACGCTTCATTTGCCAATACCTATCGTCACCGATTGAATTCGTTTCGAATTGGAAATAAAACAGTAAAGCTCAGCAAGCACTTCAAAATTCAGTTAAGTGAAATAAATTTGAGTGAAAATTAAATTGGTTGAAAGTGAAACAGTAGCTTGAATAACTTATTTATAGGATCAAATAAGTAGCTCTGACACTATAAAACCGAAGCTTAAATTATAAATATGGGCAGTTTTATGGCAAACCAACATCCTTTTGAAGAGGAGAATTCATATAAAATTAGTTAAACTTTTAGATAAGTCTCAGTAAATAATTACATGGAAATCTTACTTCTAGAACCGTCTTATTGCTTAGAAATATCTACATTGTTTGTGCAGAAGATCACGGAGCAGATAAAATATCGATGTGTGTGAAAACTTGACCTTTTACCAATTGGTATTTGGAACTTAAGTAAACACCCGTTCTAATAAAAAAATAAGTGTCAAAGTCTCAACTAAGCAATTTTCAAAAAGTTTTGTACAATATTGCCAATTCCACATTCTATGGAGGGTAGCCATAATCCGTTCCAGTTACTTAGAATCGCTTATGGGTGGATCGAATTGAAATTTGATTACCGAACGCACGGAAAAATTTTGTTGGTTAATTTTTATTTCTTACGAAATTGCGAAGCGGTGCTTTGACAAGTGCACAAAAAATGCTCCATTGTTGCCTGGTGCCTTCCTCTTGACATTTACTTTAGTTTTCTCGATCTGTCAGTCCCATCCGGAAGGCGTGTGTCGCCACCAGACTGTGACCAGTGAGCGTTCCAACCGTGTTTCTACAGTACGTTTGGCTTTCTACGTTGCTGTTAACTTTAGAGTTACTGCTGATGCATTAGAGGATAGCTCCGAAGATTTCCTAACAGCATAATCCTCTGTTTGAAATATACTGCAGCGATCCTGCAGTTTAAATGGCTGCCGTATAAGCGTTCAATGTGTTGCGTGCTGCTACCATACCTTAAGGTGGTTGGCGTAAGCAAGCATCATTCGCAATCTGCAGCCAGTAGACATCCCACCGAATTTGTCGCGCAGTTTTCAGCGAAGCGGTCTATGGCAGGCTTAGTACCAATTCAAGAGCCGCAGTTGGTTCTTAGAGCTTTTGCGTCCTTTACTTTCCGTTCTTTTCACAAACATGTACGTACTTATATAAGGTCGATAATACGAAACGTTGAGATCGTATGATATTTGTGTAATGTGACCAACGCGTCCACTTTCGAACAAAGTTTTCTTAAATTTCTTCATGTTATTATCATAGTTTTTGACGCGTCCGGAATCAATAAATACATATTATACGGGTATTGCATACGCCAATAGTTGCTGTAGAAATGCGTAAGCTTTTTTCAAACAACGAAATGCTTTTAAATTGTAGTGAAATCATGCAGAAGACTTATTGAAACTTAGATCTCTTAGACTCATGAATTCCTAAGGGACAGCAAGTAACGAAATTGTATTTTAAAAACAGTATTTATTTTCAATTAGTGTAGCTAGGTCTCTCACGTTCATGATCTCATATGTTCCCAAGCTATGTTTTAACATTTTGAAATATAGATAAAATACTCCTGGCTACTTATGGTACGGCTATCACTTCATTCACTTATTCATCCACCTTGAACTAATTCAGTGCTCTCCAGGGAGCACTAGATTCAGCTTAGATCAACTTTAGAAGGGCTTAGTTTCAACTTTAGAAGGGCTTATTGTATCACAGCGTTACGTTAAGTTGCAACAAGAGAGCAACTGGAACATGTGTGGCTTAATGTTTTCTGATTATATCTCAAAATAATTACATTAAATTGGTTTTATATTTTCGGTAATAATTGATGATTAGGAAGTCGGTTAAAATGATATTGTAACACACATTTAACTTTTACTTTAAAGTTCGAAAGCTTATACAGGAGTATACGTCTAGAAGGCCAATTTGTGACGTTAACTTCGATTATGTCTGGTATTAAGAGATTCTTCCAATATTGGTGTTTTGTGGCTTATGGCTTCTGAGATAAGGCTTTTCTCGTTGAGTTTTATGCCTTCTAGCTTTTATGCCATATAGTAAACTATATCTTCAGATTCTTTCAAGAAAACTAAAAAATTTAAAAGTCGGCCACAATTCTATTTTTAGTGAAAGTATATTAACTGGAACACCAGTACCATTCCCTTCTACTGCCTTGCGACCACATTCAGTTAGTACGTGCCAATTGTGGTGCAATCGCCAAAATAGAATGCAACAGGTGTTTGAGCCGCAACTAAGTGGCTGCTTGTGAAATGCTACAAATGCAACAAAGCAGTGGCGGCCACCAACATCAAAGCGGCAGCAGCAACAGTTGTTGAATGAAAATTGCACCAATCCGAATGTCTGTTAGTATGTTGTGTAAAGCAAGTTGAGTGGTAATTGCAAAGAGTAGCATTACAACAACACTAAAAATAAGGAAAGCTACAGTTATAATTGCCATGGCAGACCAACAACAAATTACACTCAGCCAAAATTAAAGTAAGTAAAAGCAAACAATCGCTGAGGTCGCCTACCAAATTGACCCAAAACAATTTTAACCACAAAGTGGGGTGCTTTTGCGGACCAGCAATAGCTAATAGCGCACGTTGAAAGGAGGAGTGAGTTGGAAGTGGAAGAGGTACATAAGTGTAGTTAGTGTATTAAAGAATGAGGCTCAACTACTGTGAGAGTTTTCAAAAGCTAAAATCTTTTGAAACGCAAATCCGCAGCTGAAGACACAAGTGCTTTCACTATGAGAAAAAAAACAATAACTAATGATTCGACCACACTGTCTCGTCCTCGAGATCAATAAAAATTTGTAGTAACGCCAGTTGCTAGATCACAACATTTCACAATTCTAAAAGAATTTTTAGATTTTCATTTTTAGTGGCAACCCTTGGTTTGGCTACCATCTTTCCCTTCGTAACTTCATTACGTTTCGTTGTGTAGATTCTAGCACACGTGTTTTTTCTTCTTATAACAAGATAGTTGCATATCACAGAATACTAATCAAAATTCTAATCAACAGCGCATGAAGAAGCGAAAATTGACTCTTCACAATTAGATTTGGCCGATGCTATAC